GCTAGAAAATAGAAATGGGCATTGTGGGAATATGTGAATATAAAGTACTTGGGAAGTTATGGCAATTCAAGTTAACAAGTATTTAAATATCTTCTGTGAGTATGTCACTGTGCTAAGTGCTAGGGACAAAAAGACAAAAAGGAAATAGTCCCTTTTTTTCAAGAAGTTTAAATTCTACTTAAGGGATATAATGCAAGTGTAGGCCGGCACCTGATCTTCGGCTTGTAGTCTTAGAGACTTGTCTAAGGTCACATTGCCAATATGTGTCACAGACAGGACTTGAACTCAGGACTTCCTGGATTCCAGGTTGGCACTCTATCCATTGTACCATGCTGCCTCTCAACTATATATTGCAATTCTACAATAAAATTAATCCAGGAAAACTGATTAGCTGGGACAGAGATTGGCACCTGGAAAAAGGGATCTCATTCTGGAAAATCCCATTCTAGTCATGGCTTAGAGAAACAGGCAGACTCCTTGTGGGAGAAGAGCCAGGCAAGCCTGAGTCTACCTTTTTTGACCAGAGAGATAGCAGCAGATCTATGGTTTTTCCAGTGACAATGTATGACTTGAGAGTTGGGCCATAAGGAAGGTTGAACATCGCAGAATCGATGCTTTTGAATTGTAGTGCTGGAGAAGAGTTTTGAAAGTCCCTTGGATAGCAGGGACAGCAAATCAGTCAATACTTAAAGAAATTAATTCAAGCTATTCATTGGAAAGCCAAATACTGAAGCTGAAGCTTAACTACTTTGGCCACATAATGAGAAGACAGGACTCAGTGGAAAAGATCCTGATGTCGGGAAAGAATGAAGGCAAAAGGACAAGGGGGCAGCAGAGGTTGAGAGGGATAGATCACGTCATGGAAACAAGAAACATGAACTTTGAGGGATGGCGGAGGATAGAAGGGCCTGGTGTGCTATGGTCCACGGGGTCACAAAGAGTTGGATATGACTGAACAGCTGAACAACAACAAATAGCAGAAAAACCTCTGGGCTTAAAAGAGGAACAGCAGAGCCTACCCTTCTATGAGAAAAAGGTAGCCACTTAGCCAAGGACTCCAGCAGAAGCCAAAAGCTGGAAGCAGAGAGAAGCTCCATGACCTTGTACTCTTTGGAGGCATACTTGGCAACTATTAGTAACAACCACATGACCAGTGGAACAACGTTGGGAACAGCCATGCGAGACTATCAGGGAACAAAGCCCAGCAGAGACTGTACACCTTGAAAGACCTTTGGGGAGCAGGCCTAGCAGGAGCTGTGCAGTGTCAGAGTCATGCGCTTCATTCGTGTGCCCTGTCCAAAGGTGTTACCTATGCATGCTCAATCTTCTCATTGATAATGTGGTTTGTCAGGGTTTTTTTTGGGGGGGGGTGGCAGAGAAAATATGCCCTAGGTTTATGAAGGAAATGTCTTACTGCTACTTTTTTATGATGCTATTTCATTAAATGCCTTTGTCTTGAATTGTGTTCTCTGACTGACTAGTAAATGTAAACATGTCGGTGGGGGCTCATGAGCTATGGTTTTGGCAGGATGAAGGTTCAGAGGACCTGGGTTCAAATCTTGCCTTTGTCATTTACTACCTGTCTGGCCTTAGGCAAATTATTCAAATTGCTTAGACTTCATTTTCCTCATTTATAAAACAAGGAAATTGGATTAGGTGGTCTTTAAGGTACCTTTCCACCCTAAATATAACATTTATGATTATATGACCTGGAACCAGGAATAGTATTGTTTAAGGGATCCATTGTGTCAGTTGTGGGCTATCGTTAGGTACTAGATTGGTAAATATAGGGTGGTTTGGGGAGGGTTGTCAGGAAAGTTTTCACAGAGGAGGTAGCATCTATGCTAAGATTTAGAGGAAATAAGGATTAAGAGCAACAGAATTGAAGGTGGGGGGACAGTTTATACAAGTGCATGGAGGTAAGAGATGGAATATTAGTTTCAGAAAAAGCTAGTAGTACAATTTGGCTGGAATGTAGAGCACATGAAGAGGAATAATATAAAGTTAGGCTAGAAAGTTAGGTTAGAGCCATATCATTGAGGGTCTTAAATGTCAGGCAGAGGATAGTAAGTATTTTATTCTAGAGGTAATAGGAAGAGAGTGTTTAAGCAAGGAAATTACATGTCCAAATCCCAATAATGATACCTTGAGATTTCAGGGAGAGGTGAGAGCTTTCAAAGGACCAAGTTAACTTTGCTTGTACATTAGATACCTCTGGAAATATTAACTATTATTACTTGAACTCTTTAAGGATAACTGATCTTGCCAGTATGGGTACTACTTTCCCTGATGAAGATTGCAGCCCTTTGCCTTAATAGATGGTCTTTTTGAGATGTCATAATTGAAAAAAACAAATCCTAATGTAGTCTAGGAGTATCAAACTCAGATAGAAAAGGGAGGCACTAAACCATACACAAGGATCCCTGTGGGCCACTTATTGGCTTGGTTTTTAAAATGTAATGTTATCTATGTTTTGTTGTATTTTTACTTATTTTGTTAAATGTTTCCCAATTACATTTCTTTTTTTGGTGAGGCAATTGGGATTAAGTGACTTGCCTAGGGTCACACAGCTAGTTAGTATCATGTGTCTGAGGCTGGATTTGAATTCAAGTCCTCCTGACTCCAAGGCCAGTGCTCTATCCACTGTGCCACCCAGATGCCCCCTCCCCCCCATCACATTTTAATCTGGTTTGAGACATACAGCAACACAGTAGTATTGCTGGCCTATTAGACACCTCTGATATAGCCAATTGTCTAAAAGTGAGCCTGTCATGGGACCCCATTTTAGAACCGGAAGGGACCTTAGAGACCACGTCTAGCACACTTATTTTGCTGTTGAGGAAACTGCATCCAAGAAGGGTTAAATAACTTGTCCAGGGTCACACAGCTAGTATCTGAAACAGAATGTAAACTCAGATCTTTCTGACCCCCAGTTCTTTTTTTTTTTTTTTTGGCTAGGCAGTGGGGTTAAGTGACTTGCCTAGGGTCACACAGCTAGTAAGTGTTATGTGTCTGAGGCTGGATTTGAACTCAGGTCCTCCTGAATCCCGGGCGGGTGTTCTATCCACTGCACCACCTAGCTGTCCCAGTTCTAATAGCTTACCCACTGTATCTCCTAGTTACTTCTCTGAATTTACTTAATTTCGTCCTCAAGTGTTATATGGAATATAGATTATCCTTAGACCTGTTTTTGAAACATTTCTGATTTTTGCTCCAATAATATAGGTTCCCTTCCATTGCTCAATGAAGCCCAGAGTGGAGGATTACTATTATCGCATCTTATTTTTCCTCCTACTTTACCCAGAATATTGTGCCTATTCTTAAAGGGGGTTGAGAAATCTTAAACTACAATTGATGCAGGAAATAAGAAATGTACAGTTTAATTGCAGGAATGAAAATTTGCCACCTGTCATTTGCCTCCCCACTGGGCAATTGAGTAAGTATGCTGTATTTTTACCAGAGAAAATTTTGTCTTTCATGCCCTTCCATACATTTGTATCCTGAAGTAGAAAATAAAGAGTTAATACAGCTCATCTGGCAGGATGTAATAAAGTTACAAATATCATCAGACCTTCTGATTCAATGATTCAAGATAGTCATCAGGGAAAGGCATTAGTAACTGGACAGGCCAGGAAAAGATTCATGAAGCATATTTAATCACATTTCTCTCAATTAAAAAAAGTTATATTTTTAGTGAGAGTTAAAAAGTTTTGTGAGCCATTAGATAAAATAGTGAGAAGCAGCATGATGTAGTGAATAAGAGACTTAGTCTAGGCTTCAGGAAGACCTGAGTTCTAGTCCTACTGACATATGCTGGTTGTGTGGCCCTAGGCAAGTCATTTAACTTTTTAGAGCCTCAGGCAACTATGTGAGGAGCAGGTGCCAACTGCAAAGAAGATGTGAATCTATGTTGGTAGAGGGAGTTCCTCACCAGAGGTTTTCTACATTGATAAAGTCTTAAATAATATAAAAAATTATTATTTTTTAAAAGAATATTTCACCTTTATCATATCCTTTTAAAATTCTATTTTGTACATATTACAATGCATATAATGTATACAATATTACATGTGTGTTAATTTTAAGTAAATAAATATACTTATATTGATGGTATATGTTCAATTTTTTTTAACTGATCAAAAAAGATTGGAGTTTGGAGACCATGGAATTAATTAAAATCAGCTCCAACTGACTTGACCTGGTTGTTAAATTTTCAGCATGAGCATTTATACCTCAGAAAGTGGTAAATGTAGCTTGAGAATTAGAAATGCTTTCAGTACTGAGGAAGCTGCAGAGAAAACTTTCCATTCATCTGAAAGGAAAATTTTTTGAGCTTTGCATGAACTTTTAGCATGAGTGTGTAATAGATTTTTATACCACTAGATGGTGCTGATATCTCTGGGATGAATCTAATTTATCTTACCCAGGACACAGGATTTCATTGCTAAAGGAAGAAAAGAAAGGAAGAGCAAGCATAGAGGGTTTTTCTTATGTAAGAAAAGACCTGAAGAAAGAAACTAATAGTCTTGTGATAAACGGATCCATTTATTTAGGTAGAATTATTTATTTAGAGGGGTTGATAAAAATTATATTAAGATTTTGTTAAGGTATAGTCCAAATAGAATATAAGTTCCTTGAGGGCAGTAAGTAGATTTTTTGTTTTTGTATTGCTAGCACCTAGTACATGGTAGGCACTTAATAAATGCTTGTTGATTAAATGATTGGGCTTTTAAATAAACTCTAGAAAGGATAGTCAAGTAAATAACAGCTCCATCCTGTGGCTTCTAATTTTCTTTTCTTTTTTTTTTTTTTTTGCTGACAGGTTTAATTTTTCTTGAAAGACAGCAAGCCAGTGAAGTAAAAGATTAACTGAATGCTATACATCCATAAAAAATAATGCAGTTCAAGAACTGTATTCCATGGGGAAAAAAGTCACCTTAAACTTAAATTATACTCAATAATTATATTTTATTCATATAATATTTTTAAAACAAAGCTTATGTTATGATTCTTAAATAAGCATTTTCTAAAAAACACTAAAATCCTTACATGCAAAGAATTATACAAGGCCCAAAGAAGAGAATTGGTTTCAGTGGTGGTGGTGGTGTTTAAACTGAAGTCCACAATACCCACAAGTCCCAGTTTTAGTCTCTTTGTCCAAGTTTATGTATACTTTTGGATGACCCAGAGCTCCTCCTCCACCATCACATGACATCACTCGACTTTCCACTTTAGCTACTGGTTGCTCTGCTATCAAATCAATTGCAAAGTTTTCATTTACCTCTTTCTGGCGACCAACAAAGCGAATCCTCCTGTAATATTCTTCATCATAAACCTGGCCAGTGTGGGTAATTTTCTCCCCCGAGGGCGATGTCTTCACACCAAAACACGTGGCGGCCGCAGGGAGGCCCCCAGCGGCCTCGAGGCTTCGGCCCAGAAAGCGACCGAAGGTCAGTGTCTCCGCTGCCGCCATCTTCCACCTGGCTTCTAATTTTCAATTGCATGTGATAACATTCAAATCTGATCCTTACCTGCCATAGGGTATCATTGCAAAATCTAGCCCTAAGACCAATTTGCTATGCTTCAACCCAGGGGGATGCATTTAGCTGAAGAGTAGAATCATCACAGTGATCTTAGGGAGGGAAAGATATCAACTGGATAATGTTACCCGAAGAGGAGTCTCTGGGTCTTAGTTTCTCCTTCTGTAAAACGAGCGCATCAGAATAGATGATTGCTAAGTTCTTTCTAGTTCTAACATTTTATGTAACTTTTTATTTAAAATTTTTTATTTTTTAAAATAAATTTACTTTTCCTTTACATGTAAAGATAATTTTTAACATTCAATTTTTAAAATTTTTTAGTTCCCAATTTTCTCTCTCCTTCCCTCACCCTCCCTCTTGCTAAGATAGTAAGCAATTAGATATACATGATATATAACATTTTATATAATATAGAAAATCTAACCTAATATAGGAAAATAATCCAATATGGGAAAACTACCTGCTTTTTAGAAGAATAGTTGCCTTTACTTACCTTGTTCTAGATTTTTCTTTCCAAATAGTTTGCTAGAAATTTATTTTTCTTCAAAATTCTTCTTTCATAGTACTTAAGATGTCTTAGGGCCTTTTGTACAAACATTTTTAAAATGGGATGAGTTCACTTTATTTAACAACAAGTAGCCAGGTGTGGTGGTGCGCTCCTATCTTGCTACTGGGGCAGCTGAAGCGGGTGGGTCACTTGAGTTCAGGAGTTCTAAACTGAAGTGGGATAAATTGATTGGTTATCACACTAAGCCCAATACTAATATAATGGTACCTCTGATAGTGGGGGACCATCAGGCTGCCAAAGGAGGCGCCTAGATTAAGGAGAACTAGACTAAGTCAGAAACGCAGCAGAGTAAAGCTTCCATATTCATCTTCAAGAACGGAGTCAGGCTGCGAGTGGCTGCTGCTCTTCCAGCCTGGGTGAGATAAGGAAACCCAGTCTTAGTCTCAAAAAAAAAATCCCCAAACCCCAAATCCCCCAAAATTAGGTAAAAGATGTGGTGATGCTTAGAGAGAGGTTGGTTGTTTGAAACAGGAATTTTTATTTTCAAAGAGATTAGATTATCGGGAACTTTCCCCTATGGAAGAAAAGTTCTACACAGTGTAATTTAGCCCAAGTCTGTTGACAAGAATTTTTGCTTGAAGATAGGCTCATACTGGCAGAAATCACCTTGATAATTAGAATTCCTTCTTTGCTTAAGCAACTTAAACTTATATTTTAGAATAATTGTGAACCAAAAGACAAAATTTCAGAGCAAAGTTAAAAGAAGACATGTAAGTGAAGTTTAGGGTTTTTGGCTTACCAAACAGAACAATAGTGTTATAAATGCAGGGTACCTTGGAAGAAAATATCTACCAGAAATTAACTGTTCCCTCTAAAAATTTCATTTTCAAGCTGGTCAAAGATGAACAAAGAGATATCTCTATGGATTAGATTAAACTGAAAGATATTTCTACTCTTAGACAAATTATTAGTCTGAAGGAATTAAGATCCCTACTTGAAATTAAGACTTCTATTCAAGAAAGACTGATTACGGCTTTGATTCAGGTTGTTTAGAGAACAAGGATGCTGGCCTTATATTATTTAATTGTTATGATACAACTGAGGTCTTAATACTATATACTTCATACCTCAAACACAGAAAGTTGATCTGACTAGAGAAAAAGAGCCTCCAACCAATTGAATCAACAGGGCCTTGCAATCAATATTGGTTAGATACCCCTAGAAAATCAGACTTCTAGGTCCTATCCTAACTCATATTCTCCTGACAATCCTTTTACATATAAGCTTCTTGCTTTCCAGTACTGTTTCCCTCTTTTTCCATCTCTACTTGCGAGCCAATCTCATTGACAGGCTCTAACATATTCTAAAGTGGATTGTTCCTAGAGCTATGTTGAGGCTAAAGTTAACAGTACAAAATGGAAATTTTTCAAGTCCATGTGAGGTGCAGGGATGTCTTAGGGGGTGAGAGAAAGAAAGAATCGATGGCCAAGCAAATTGACATGGCTGACAAGAAATAGGAAAGAAGCAAGTAGAAATGTTTTTGTCCCTTCAAAGTTGAGGGATTGTGGATCATGTTCAATAAGAATAGAGGCGGAGTTGCTGAGATTGGGCTAATCAAATATCAGACTCTCTGCTCTCCCTTACCCTCACATCTAAACAATTGCCAAGTCTTGTCAATCCAGTTTCTACAAACACCTCTTTTATCTGTCTTCTTCTCTGCACTCATAAAATTTCAATTGTTAAGTCATGTGTGACTCTTTGTGACCCCATTGGGGTTTCTTGGCAAAGATACTGGAGTGGTTTGTCATTTCTTTCTCCAGCTTATTTTTCAGATGAGGAAACTGAGGCAAAGAGGGGTAAGTGACTTGTCCAGGGTCACACAGCTAGTGAGTGTCTGAGGCCAGATTTGAACTCAGGAAGATGAGTCTTCCTGATTCCAAGCTCAATGCTTGGAATCTAGCTGCCCTACTCATATGGCTGCCCTCCTAGTTTAGACCCTCCTCACTTCTCATTGGGACTATTGCATTAGCCTCCTAATAGGGCTCCCTGACTCCAGTCTCTCTTCTCTCCAATCCATCTTCCACACAGCTGACAGATGGATAATCCTGAAGCACACATCTGAGCATGTCGCTTCCCTGCTCAGAAAAAACGCCAGTGGCTTCATATCGTTTCTGAGCTAAAATGAAAATTGTTTGGCTTGTAAAGTTCTTCACAATCTGGCTCCAACTTGCCGTTCCAGACCAGTTTTCCATTTTCTTCTCTCACCTACTGCATTCCAGCCAAACCAGCCTTCGTGTTATCCCCTGATCAGAACATTCCATCCCCTCCACTCTGTACCTTTGCAAGGAAATGTCCCCCAGGCCTGGGATGCACTCATGTTTCACCTCTGCCTCTTAGAATCCCTGGTTTCCTTCAAGGCTCAGCTTCACTGCCACTTCCTACAGGAGGCCCTTCGTGATTCCCTCTAGGTGTTGGTGCTCTTTCCCATCAAATTGCTTTGTATTTATTTTGTCTATATCACACATTATGAGGATTCCCTCTGCATGAGTTTTGCTTTTCCTTTGGCAGAATGTCAGCTCCAAGGGCAGGGATTGTTTTATTTTCATATTTTCATCCCCAGTGCCTTGAATGGAGCCTTATACATAGCAAGTGCTTCATATGAATGAAGGAAGGTGGGCAAGGTTTGGGGAAATCTCCCAGTGAGCTCGATGAGGCTGGTCCCAGAGAGGCAGCCTACAAAGAATCCTGGGGCTCCCTTCTTTACCCAAGCTGGCCTTCCTTTAGCTAGAAAAAGTATCTGGCACCTGAAAAAAATTAAATTAAAAACAACCCAAAGTCCGCGAAAGCTGCAAGGCATGAGAGAATGAGTACTGCCAACTGCTTCTTGTATTAGGCATCTGCAGTGGATACCAGTGAGCCATTCCACTTTTGATTATGCAACTTTTCTTCCCCCTATTGTCACAGCCTTTAAAGCTCATTATCTTGGGCCTAGAACTTCCCTCCTATAGCAAGCCCCAAAGAGGACTTGGCTTTTTTCCCTTACCTCTAAGCTCTTTAGTGTAAGCTGGTACTTTCAAAGGTGTGTGTTTCCCTTTTGACTGAAATTAACATAATAGTACCAGCCGACATTTTATAGTCTTTAAAGTTTGCCAAGGCTTTACATATATTTCCTCATTTGATCTTCTCAACAGTACTGTTTATTTTGTCTATATCATATATTATATTGACTCCTCTGTGTGAGTATTGCTTCAGCAGAATGCCAGCTCCTTGAGGGGAGGAATTGCTTTGTTTTATATTTTCATTCCCACGACCTAGCATAAAGCTTTACACGTAGCAGGTGCTTAATTAAAGCATGTTGAATGAATTAAAGAAGTGGGGTAAGGATTAGGGAAATATTTATACAGTAACGTAGAAAGTAGAAAATACCTTCTTATGAATTTACAAACTCTCTACTCCAGCATTCTTCAGTATTCGAGAAACTCATCCAAACTCTTGCCAAGCATATCCATGGACAGTGATGGTTTTTCATGAGCTAAATTCCTAGATGCTGTTTCTAAAGCTACCAGATATCTTACATACATCTCAAACTCAACATGTCTAAAACAGCACTCTCCATTTTCTCTCGTCTCCATCCCTAACTTTCCTATTTCTGTTGGGATCAACACTATCCTTCAAGATATCTAAGTTTTCAGTCTCAATCATCCTTGACTCTTCCTTCTTTTTCATCCCTTATTTCTAATCAATTGACAAGACTTGTCAATTATACCTTCCAAATTATCTGCATTCTACCTCTCCTATATACCTGATTCATTCCATCTCTCTCCTCACCCAAGCACCATTCTAATTAAGGGCCTCATCAACTCTCCTTGGACTGTTACGATAGTCTCCTAAGTGGCCTTCCCACATGCAGTCTGTTCCCTCTCCAATCCATCTTCCACACAGCTGTCAAATTGATATGTCTGACCATGTCATTCCCCTGCTCAAATAGTTCCAGTTCCCACTTGTCTCTAGGATAAAATGCAAACACCTCAGTTTGGCATTTAAAGCTTTTCACAATCTGGCTCCAGACTACCTTTCCAGGCTTATTTTTATACTGCTTTTCTTCACGCACTCTATGTTCAAGCCAAGCTGGCTTATTTGTATTGACTATTCTGTAGAATTGTTGCATTTCTCTCAACAGAACACATGTTCCTTGAGGGTAAGGACTGCTTTGTATTTTGTATTTGTAACCCCCTGGGGCCTAGCTCAGTGTCTAGAACACAGCAGACACTTAATAAATGCTTTCTGAATGAATGAAAATCACTCATTCCACCTAAGGAATCATTGAACTTGCCAGCAGAAGTGCCTCACTTAGCATGAAGGCAGAACAGAGAACCACCTATGAAGTGGGATTTTAGGAGGCTTGGGAAGGTTTCTCCAGTTCCATGTAGGTAGGGGAAATTTCATCATTAGAACTATATCACAAGGGAGTTATTGACAGCAAGAAAAGACTCAATATTACAATGGATCTGTGATTTTAGCAGATTTCTCTCAACGACATTTTCAACCCATACATGCCTGCACATCGTTGTTTGACTCTTG